GTTCCCGAGGGATACGTAGCTATTTGTAATTTATATAGTTCGTATGTTTTCTAATACTACGCGGACGAAGTTGCGGGCAACAGCTCGTTTTAAAATAAAAAACAAACAACAAATGATTAAAATATTCAAGTTGATACCTGTTGTTAAGATAGCAAAAAGCAAGTTAGTTAATTTTTAAGTTATACATTAGAGTTTAAATTATAAATGATGATTATCATAAAATAAACTAAAGTACAGAATAGAACAATATACTTGGTATTTGCATACTAATTAAGGGTCTTTCGAAAAGTGTATATACATCTCCTAGACATGTTTAGTTGTTGTGTTGTTAAAATCATTCTATGTTAAAAATTAACCAACTTGCTTTTTGGTATCTTAACATTCCTATTCTGAATAAAATAGAGATTTAAATTAGATTATTTAATCCCTTTCTCTTTACCACCCTTTTCTTATGAGAGGATGGGAAGGGGAAGTGGATTTGACGATGGAGGAGATGCATGGGAAGAGGAAATATCCTCTTTATGTGCGTCTCCTCCTCCGTCGAATAAGGGTAGGCGACACATCTGCAATTGCAGATGTCTATGGGCAGCGGTCGCTTCGCCATTTTGGCGGATTCAGGTGGCCGCTTGCTTGTTTGTCATCTTATGTTATAAAAAAAAAAGATTAATATTTCTACCCAGTTGTCACTAAGCTGGAGTCAAACAAATGCGGTGCCATCAGTCGGCGGAGCTCCGCTAACCCTGTCTTCCTTCACCGTTGGCTTGTACAAGGGAAATAGAGTCGCTGTTAAGAAGATACATAGAAAAAAACTGGATTTAAACAAGAAGTTATTATGGGAAATTAAGCAGGTGTGTATAAGAGTAACTTAATTTATTGTGCGTAATATTTAACTAAGTAATCATTGTTGAATTGTTAGAAATTATTAGAGAACTTACTTCTATACTATTACAATAAAGCGTAAACACACACTTTTTTGTTGCCTAAGATGTCAGCAATTACAGCATATTTTTGAATAATTCTTTTTTTAATAAAAAGCCCTACACTTACGTCACGCTTTAGGCTATATATTTTCACGCCAATGAACTTAGGGGGTAAATATTTTGCATAAAAACCCTAATGTGGGAAAGAGACCATAAGTTGTTGCCAACATCAAGGAAACAAGATTGCCAAGGTTTGTCATGTCCTGTCATTTTGACATTTGCAATTGATAATTTGATGAATGTAAACAATGAAATAAAATTTTCATAGTTTCATGCGGATGAAGCCGCACGAGAACAGCTAGTTGTCTAATAATATATTTAACTTAACGAAGTAAAAAGATCAAAGATGTTTTAAAGTTATTCATTTTTTTCTTAATAAATCAATAATTTCAGACGAGGTTAAAAATCTGTTGGTTATTATAAATTAAAATATTATTTTATTTAATACATTTGATGTAGAGATTAATTATGCCTGAGTTGAGTACATTTACTTTGTTTAAGAACTTACATAGTGAAAGTATGATAACTTTCGCTTATATTTTACATTTTTACTGCATTATATTTTATCGAGTCGGTTAAAATAAAAGCAGCAGTATCTCACAATTTCATAACCGATCCTAAAACAACAATGTTCCATTTAAAGCTTATTTAATGGATGTTATAAAAACAATGCTATCGACTAACATTTATATTACCAGTGTATTGTTTTTCGAAAAATACATACAACAGAAATAAATTGATTATATTAAAATTATTCCTTTGCACTGTTTCTAGCGATATTACAGCTCGTTTACAGTAAATAAATTGTTACAATGTTTCTATTTTCCAAAGGCCCGTAACGTGTCCCATGAGAACACGGTGCGGTTCATCGGCGCATGCGTGGACTGTCCGCTGGTGTTCGTGCTAACGGAGTACTGCCCCAAGGGCTCGCTGAAGGACGTTCTAGCCAACGAGGAGCTACAGCTAGATTGGAACTTCCGCACATCATTGGTGCATGACATCGTACAGGTATGACAAGCGGGCAAAAGGATAAACTATGAAGTATAAATGGACTAGACGAATATTCAGAGGACAATAAAATATGTAAACAGCATCTTACAGGGTAAGCTCCAAATTCCAATAAAGTTTTGACCTGTCTGTTTCGTATTGTAAGCGGCTGTAAAAAGTGATGTTTAAAATTCCCTTCAGTGCCGTTGTGAAGTTTTTAAATGCCAATTAATTATTTCAGTGAGTAGTATCAAACTTGTTAAACCGGGTAATGAAAGCGCTTGTACATTTGTGTCCAGGGCATGTGCTACTTGCACAGCGGGCTGGGCGCGCACGGCAAACTGCGCTCCTCCAACTGCCTCATCGACGGCCGCTTCGTTCTCAAGATCTCCGACTATGGCCTCAACACGCTCTGCACGCCCACAGACTTAATAAAGGGCGATCAATATTACTACAGTAATGACATCTTAAATTTTATTTCCCTTTCATTATCATCAACTTGCCCTTGTCTTTACGGAGTGTCGGCACAGTATATGCTGCACTTCGATACATATCTATCTGCCGGTCTGCCTTATAGTTTCTTTCTCTTTGGTAGCTTAAATTATCCTCCTCCTCCATCATCTAGAAAACATTCTGCGGTAGCTGTTGCACTAATCTAAGTCATAGAATGAATATGTGTAGAGTTGCTATGGACGGCGCCGGAGCTGGTGGCGGGCAGCCTGTACCCGGGCGCGGTGGCCTCGCTGAAGGGCGACGTTTACAGTTTCGGCATCATCCTCGAGGAGATCGTGCGCCGCGCCGGGCCCTTCCACCATTACACGCCTACCATGTCATACAAAGGTTATCTCCTTAGAATTTGAATTATTAAAAAGCCTTTAAAAATGTAACATTTATTTGTTTTAAGAAATAACTAATTCATTGCCGTGTTGGCCGATTCATTTAAAGAATAACAGCAAAGTCTTCGGCGAAGACATTCAAACATATGGGTGAAGTCAACCAACCCGCACTTGGCCAGCGTGGTTGACTATGACCTAGTCACCCTAACGTAGGGTAGGCTTACAACCCCTCAAAGGGGACGTATAGTGAGCTCTAATAAAAAGTGGTACAAAGACGGGAAGATGAAGTAATTTACTGCCCTACCTTTCGTTGTCTTTTGGTGATCAGAGATAGTACGCCGTGTGTGCGCGCGCGAGTCGCCGCCGTTCCGTCCGGTGGTGGGCGCGGGCGAAGCTGCCGGCAGCGGCGCGGCGGCCGAGCTGCTGGCGCTGGCTGAGCGCTGCTGGTGCGAGGCGCCCGACGACAGACCCTCCTTCGATGCTATCAATGCTACGTATATCAAGTAAGAAACGAGAAGTTAGTCTGGTTGGGAGACCTATTCTTTGATGCTTTTTTTGAGTCATCTGACTACGTTTTACAATATACAAATCTACGTATTTATTATAGCCGTATTACACGGCAAAGCAAACATTAAAAAAAGGAAGGAAAAACACCCCAAAATATAAGGGCATTCTTTTAAGGAAATCCAGTTGACTCTTGAAGTTTTTTTAGTACAGTTATTAAGAATATTTTGCACAGAGGTTACTGTGATAACCTGATGGATGATCTACTGCGTCGCATGGAGCAGTACGCCAACAACTTGGAGTCGCTGGTGGAGGAGAAGACCGAGCAATTGTCAATGGAGAAGCGGCGCTCAGAGGAACTGCTTTACCAAGTGCTGCCAAGGTATTAAATTGACTGTCGTATTAAGTCTGTAATGATCACTAAGGGAAACTATATAAACTTATTGTAGATTTAGCATAAAAATTGTAAAGAAGTTCCGTTAAACTAATTTGATTTTCTCAGAAATTCTTTGATAGAGTCCTAGTAAGTATCAGTTGATTTCAAAGTAATTTATCAAAATATTACGGCATTTCTCTGTATTCAATATAACATTTCTTGTCACGTAAAAATTTGATTATGAAAACTTTTATGAAGATAAGATTTTCCATTATTACTCAAAAACTTTTTCCTATAGACCGAGTTTCTTGAAAACTTGATATAGCGACTCGGAATAAGCGAGAGTGCCAGTTCCGTTTATAATTACCCCTTTGGTATTTTATAAATTATCATGTACAGTTTGTAACAAGAATAAACTTAATAAAATATAATAAAAAGTTTATATTGATAGAGCATTACGCATCCAACTTATATAGCCTACTATTTTAAAGAGCAAAGAAAAGGAACAATAAAATAATCCATAGAATATATCAAGTCTACTTTCATACTCGGTCAATTCCACCCTCTGCAACATAATCAGCCGATATAATATTCTCCTGTCCAACTAGGCCGGTTGCACAACAACTGATGGCTGGTGAAGTAGTCCAGCCGGAGAGCTTCGAATGTGTGACAGTTTACTTCAGCGATATTGTCGGCTTCACTGAGCTGTGTGCTGCTTCCACGCCGATGCAGGTCGTCGACCTCCTTAATGACCTTTACAGCACATTTGACAGGATCATCGGATACTACGATGTGTACAAGGTGAGACTAGGCACGACTTAAAAAATGCAGAAGTAACTTTACTCTTGATTTGTAATTGGATAATGAAATAGCTTAGACATTATAGCATGAAATATCTAAATGTATCAATATATCTAACTGTACCAAGACGTCAGATAAGTTCTTCGACAATTTACGTCATAGGTTTGTGACGTAGGTGGAGACGCAAATAAGTAATCTTGTGACGTAGGTGGAGACGATAGGTGACGCGTACATGGTGGTGTCGGGCCTGCCGAAGCGTAACGGCGACATGCACGCGCGCGAGATCTGCCTCATGGCGCTCGCTGTCGTCGAGGCCGTGCGCACCTTCGCCGTCAGACATCGCCCCTCGCATCGCCTCGAAGTAATCTAGAAATTCTTATCATTCGCCATTTTTGCTTCTTACCTCATTAACTTCACTCTCTCCACTCTTTTCACTGACTAGTCACTCCACTTACTTCTCCCCCTTCAATAAAACTTTTTCGTCTATAGGCACTTTCGTTTAATCTTCTATTACTTTTAACTAATCCTATTGTATAAGGTGCGGGTGGGAGTGCATTCAGGGCCGGTGTGCGCGGGCGTGGTGGGAGTCAAGATGCCACACTACTGTCTGTTTGGTGACACCGTCAACACCGCCAGCCGCATGGAGTCAACTGGACAACGTGAGAACTCGAACTTAAAGTTTACTAAGCACATTGTATACATTTAAGCTGGAGTGAACCTCACCACGACACTATTATTTTACAATAGAAGAATTGTATAGGATTTATCGGGAAAGAAAAGATGGGAGGTAACCGATGCCACCTTTTTGACTGTTTTTATCTTATGTGTTTGTTTACTATCTAAGCAGCGTTGAGGATTCACTTGAGCGAGAGTACGCGGGCGCTGTTGGAGCAGTGGGGCACGTTCACGGTGGAGCGGCGCGGCGAGGTGGAGCTGAAGGGGCGCGGACGCATGCTGACGCACTGGCTGCTGCGCTGCTCGGAGCCCGCGCCGCACCAGGCCGGCCCGCCCGCGCCGCCGCCCCACTACCCCATACTGTTCCCCACGCTGCCGCAGCCGATAGCTTTACACACGCCCTACATTGTTGTCGAACAACCGACTATAGCTGGATAAAGATGCAGAACTAAAGAGAGGTGGAGGTCGCGTTGATAACGGCATAGTGGGCTTCTGTGTAAAGAGTGTCAACCTTAATTATGATGTCTCATGTCGTTCCCACTTTATACGAAAACAGTATAAGGTTTCATCTTTCAGATTTATCAGTCGTAGCTATCAGTAGTCATTGTCTTCAACATGTCATTTTTATCACAAAATTTCATATCACGAAATTAACTGCCGAGAAGCTAGCTACTCTTACTAATAACGCAAAACCAAGACTTTAATTTGAAAAGCTTATTATTATATGTTTTAGAAATAAGCAGATATGCTAAGATAAATAAAATGATTGACTTAGAAAACACTATAAAGTTTTAGTGATGGGAGTAATCGAGTGTAATTAGTATTGAAAAGAAGAGAGTTCAAAAACACAATATTCTTTGTTGCAATATTGCGCAGTTTGAAGAAAAAAGGTTCTTTTGTTTTTCAATTAATTAACGAAGTTTATTCGAAAGAGATTGTCTAGAAATAAAAGTATTTATATTGTATGCTAATGACTTTAGAGAGAGAGAGAGAGAGAGATGACGATGCTGTTTTTAATTTATTTTTATATAGCACGGCCTAAACTGTTATTGTTGCAATTATTTGCTTAATTTATAAAAAAAAGGTTTAGCTTTTACGTGCCAAATGATGTTATTTACTTTATGATGAATTTATTTATATTTAATAAGTCAATCTGTAATACTGTGTATAATTGAAACATATTTTTCTACAGAAATTATAGATGCCATATGTATATACAGACATACATACGTACTATCTACATGTATATAAAATCAATTATAAATCTCATATCTGTCAATTAATGATTCTATTACAATACAAAGATATTTTGGTGTTTATTAAATAAAATGATTCTTAATAAATTAATTTGATTTTTACTTTGCTAATTTTTTTTATATTACAAGGTGGAAAACGAGCGAGCGGCCACTTGTAACCGCCGAAATGGCGTAGGGACCGCTGCCCATAGACATCCGCAATTGCAGATGCGTTGCCTACCCTTAATCGACGGTGGAAGGAGACGCAAATAAAGAGGATATTTCCTCTTCCTATGCATCTCCTCCACCGTCAAATCCACTTTTCCTTCCCATCCGTCCTTCTTAAGAAAAGGGAAAGGAAAAGGGACCAAAAATAGGCCTCCGGCACTATCACACATCAGACGAAACGCGGAATTGCTCCCACTTCACGCCTGTTTTCTGTGTGGTCGTGGTATTACACCGGGTGAGCCGGCCCATTCGTGCGAACATGTTAAAGCGGGCTCTACCACTGTTAAACTGTCATTCTTACTGTCCCTGTACTGTGGGTAGATATAAAACCGTTTAATTTCGTTAGTTATTGCAATGCCATAACCATTATAAAAAGCACAGATTCATTAAAAAAAAACAAACGAATTAGCCATCATAAATATTTAAGTAAAAAAATATGTATTACAAATACATAAGCAAGAACTTAAATTTTCCTTACCTATAAATTCCTTTGGAAGTAAGTTTACAAGACTTTCCCATTTGTCTGAAGAACTCCGCGGGGATCTGACGCTTTCAAATATAATGTTTGTAGCCTTTGGTCTGCCGTATACATTTAAGTAAATATGTACATTACTAGTCACTAAAGTTAAGTACCGAAAAAATGAAGTAACTATTAAAAATAATCCTTAATAAGTTGTCATGTGTACAAGGACCTTAAGAATTTGCCCCTTATTATGACAAGCATCCTTCGAGAAAATGTTATTGTTATTGGTGATCGAAACATGAGTCCCTACAGTTAAATGAAAAAAAAAGACTGTAAGTATCTCTTCTTTTAATAATTACATGTAGAACTAGGTGTTGCCTGCGACATCGTCCAAGCAATATTAAGATAATAAGTAGCCTATAATATGCCCGTCTAGGCGACATCGGCCAAGCAATATTAAGATAAAAAAAGTTGGCTATAATATGCCCGTCTATGTTAGCTACCCATCAGTGAAAGTCCCGTCGTAATCGAAGCAGCCGTTTCGGAAATTACCCGATACTAACGCGGCTTGCGGACAGACAGACAGACAAAACCATTTGTACTGCGATTTTAGTTATCAGCACCGCAAATACAGCTTTTCCCGAAAGTTGGAATTTTTCTTTTGACATTAAAAACAGACACTCCAATTCTATTATTTGTATAGAATATCCTATTAATACGCCTAATATATTTGTTTATAGGTATTTTAAATCGTAGAGTTTATATAAGATCTAAATAACGTTTACAAAAGTATGTATAAAGATGGATTACGAGGTATGTGTGGAGCGCTGAAGGGTGTAAACACATCAGTGGAGGGCGCGCGGAATGTTCTCGACATTGAACCTGAAATCGTTCGCCGACGGCATTGACATGTGATTGAATTGAAATGTAATCGAGCGAACAACAGACCTCTGAGTAAAGATACACTCAGCATAGTAACAATTCATTGTTCTTTCCAATCTCCGGTCTACTTTATCTTAGGTGAATATACGTTCATACCTCTTTATTCAGTTTATTTTAAATATAATTAGAAAAATACAACGTGAAGATATTTTGCTTTTTCTCATACCTCAAATATAGCATAGGTTTCTTTTGTTAAACGTGCAGTAATTGGATGTTTTTTTTATAATTCTAAACTTAGCCAAAATTACGTTTGTGATAGTGTTTTTTACACAATGCTTAAAGGTTATTCCATCGAGAGTCAATATTTGCTTATTGAAATAATTTCTGTGTAGTAACAGTATCTTGACATAAGCGACGCCGGGCTAGAGGCTAGTCAATATAAATAAAAACCATAAAACAATGTCTTCAATTCGCATTTCACTTGGTACATTTTTGTTCAAGGGTGCCATCAAATCAGCGTGAAAGCCTTCGAGGTCGCAGCCTGTTGGCCTGAACCTGACATTGACGTCAAAAACTGATTAAATTGAAACGTAAGTGAGCGAAAACAAATCTTTGTCTTATCTTTTTCTATACAAAAACATTATCCAATGTCATAAAAGGTTAGATGAAAACAGACAATTTAAGAAGCTCCTCTTTTTGATTTTCTTTATTTGAGTTTATTTCCTAGAAACCACGAATGTAATCGGAATTGTTGGTTCATTTGTGGTTTCACGCCAATGTTACACGGCCCTGTGGCGCAATGGATAACGCGTCTGACTACGGATCAGAAGATTCCAGGTTCGAATCCTGGCAGGGTCGTATTTTTTTGAACTATCACAGATAATATTTTTTACTATAAAAGCCTTGGGAATATCGTTTTTTGATATTTATACGTCCTTCGCTATTTACAATGGTTTCGCTATTTCAAGGGCTTTATGACACAACACGTGTTGCAGATTATATAATTGGCAACCAAAAACTAATATCTAAATTCTTTTCTTTATAAAGTGTAAATTTTCAAAACAAAACATCAAAAAGCTTAAAGTATACCCCGTTAATAAACAAAGAAAGCAGCTAAGTGTTTGGTTGCGCGTGAGAGGAGTTGGGTCTGAAGATGACTGAGAAGCCACTCGGATTACCGGTTTTGCATTAATATCAAGCAGACCGCTTTCTAAAAATCTTTGAAGCATCGTCGATACTATGTCCAAGAATGGCGAATTCTTCTTCATCCAAATCACTAAAGGTACTGTCATAATCGAGTCTGATAAAACATGTCCACATTCGTCCTCCATAATTCCACGTGAAAGACAATAAGCCCAAGCATATTCTAAAGACGTGGCGAACACAAACTTTCTTTTACCCTGCAATACCTGATTAAACAACTCTTCGAAGCGAATTTCTGGTACGATTTCGAATTCCTCCAGTATCTGTGGATCATGTTCAAAATACAACAACATCCCAGCTCGGCCACCAAACTTATATCCATGGTCATAAGCATCTCGCAAACTTGCGTAGTTCCCAACCACTGTCTCCGTCTTCAATGCACCTATTAACACGCTTTGGTAAGCGCTTCTGACAACAAAAGTGAACCATATCCATAATCCAACAATGTAGAAATCACGAAATCGCCTCGGATATACTTTTATAGGTTGCCCGACCATCACGCCCCACATTCTAAAAGCAACACCTTGAACTGTATTTATCCCGATGAAATATCGACGGGAAACTTTTACAATCGACCTCATCTTCAATACACAAGAGATGGTTTTAAGAAGTAATATTAAAATCAGAAGAATAAGCCACATATATCCATTTAACGGCGACAGTAATCTTAACCAGACGTGTCCAGGTCTCGTCGGAGGTGCCAACCAAACTATTCTCATTCTGAAATATGGAAAAGAGTAATCTAGCAAGCTTATTTTTTCAACTCCTATTGAAATACTGCATGTTGAAATGTTAGTTACTCCTGTAATCACATCATCTAAGGACTCCGACCAGTTCTTATCTTGATTTGAATCGATGCCTAAGTAATCTTTAGTAGTTATTATTGGAGTAAAATTCATTGCCTCTTGCAAGAGTTTCACCATAGCTTCTGTGACCTTCTGCATTTGGATCTTACGGTTTGTAAGAGAATGGTAAAGTTTGTCGAAATATAAAACGGACATTCTTGCATGTTTTGCATTTTATCTGAATAAATGTTGATATTGGTAATATTCTTTCCTTTAACCGTGCCAAGGAGAAACGGCTGTGTGTTCTGACAGTCTGTATTATTTCTGTACGGGTAATATGTGTATAGAGAAGTCTTCTTTTTCTGCCTCATTAATATAACAACATTCGTGACGTCATAACTCCATAGGATTCTAAAAATTTGTTCAAGTCTATGAGAGCGGTTCAAAAGGATTATAACAAATTTAGCTCTGCTATGCAATAATGATTTGCCTTTGAGATCAGGTTTTAATATGTCCAAGATATTACGAAACGATTTCAAAGATTCTACGAATATAACAATTTGTTCCGGTGGTATACCATCTTTTTTCACTTCAATTACAACTGTTCCTTTGAATCTTTTAAGAAAATTATCAACTAGAAGTCCAGATACATCTTTCGATAGAATCACAGTTTGTAATCTATGATTGAAATGACTGTTTGCTAATTGCACTGCGGCATCTACAATATAATTAAATTTATTTTCTCTTTCTTCAATAAATGCAGAAGTTCCGAATTTTATTATTAATATCCATAAAAGAAAACTATGAATAGACATTTCGTCACTACTGTTGGTAGAGAAGACCAAAACTGAATTTGCATTATCAAACTTCGCAGTTTGTAATCATAATAAAACAATGGAAGATGTTTCGTACAAAGACTATAAATCACGGTTTTATAACAAAGCGTGAATTAACCGATCATCAATTAATCATTTTATCTATGTTTGCAAGCAATTTGACCCATTTTACGTTACCAACATAAATGATGATTAACGGTAATACTAAACATTTCTTAAAATCGATAATTTTACCCTAAATTATAAGTCAAAATCTGAACTAATTATACATAGTAATTTATAAGTCTTATAACTACATAGTACAAACCAACGTCGCTTCCTGCTGTCTGTCTGTCCCCATGGATACCTAGATCTCCAATACTTTTTGTTGCATTTTTTTAATAGATAGAGTGATTCAAGAGTAAGGTTTACATTATAATATAGAAGAAACACTGAAAATTTTAGACTTTACTGAAATGATGTGATACATTTTTATATCAGAATTTCACCCGTGATAAGCCGGGGTGGTTCGCTAGTATATTAACCACGTTCGTTCGTATCTAAGCAACAGTTTTTACGTAAACAAATCGTTTTCACTTGACTTCGGTTGTTAACTACTTTGTTTTGTTTTTTCTTATATTTTAGCATGCAATTATGAATCAGTTTAACATTATTTGTATTATTTTAACTTCGATAGGCAGTTTGTTTGGACTTCATTTGCCGAACTGCAGTAATACGGAGTTTTTTGAAGTCAGTAGTTTTAATTGCCGACCATGTCCTTACAATAGCTCTATGATTGCTTCAGTGGACGGTAAGAGAATAATTTTGAACACTAAAATATTTAATTTACTCAAACAGGCTTGAATTAATTCAATTTATCACGGGATTATTTTCTTTTGAAACCGATTGTTATATTTTTTTTCTTCTTATGATACTCATTATAAAAGCGAAAGTTTAGATGGATAGACTGTAAGAGTTTGTAACCTAAACGGCTTAACGGATTTCGATGTTTGGTATAGATGTAGAGGATAGTCTGGTAGAACACATAGGCTTACTCACTTTTTGAAATTCCACTCGGTTGAAATCTCGGGCAGAAGCTGGTTTATTAATATTTATTTCAGGTTTATCTTGCACTTGTGAGAGTCACAGTGTAATGACGAATTCGGGGCATTGCAAAGCATGCAACGTGACAGAGGTTGTATCCGCAGACGGGAATAGTTGCGTGCCGCGGAGATGTCAGGCCTCTGCGAATAGGGTGGTCTGTAGGAAATGTCCGAAAGATTATATAGCAGGTATATTATTCTGTATTAATTAGGATAACATTGAATTATCACTTGAAATCACTACAAGATGGAATAGTTAACATTCGAAAGAAGTTCAAACCGATTTCAATCTAACTCTGATTATTGAGTACGTACAGAAAATCGGATTAAATTCAAGGAATCAGTGTTTGCTTTTAATTGTGTTACTGGTACTTCAGACAGAAAAGTAAAGACTTTTTTAAACACTAAATTGCATTAATCTCGTTGGATTACGATCAGCCGTTAAGATTATTTAAAAAAAATGTTTGAACCAGTGTCCCAAAATCATGATGGAACTCCGATGAAAGAGGTTCAGTGTGTGAAGTGCGGTCGAGGATACCGCCCCCTGGTGGACACCTGCGTCAAGTGCGACGGCTGCGACTGCAGAAAACAAGAGGTGCTTGTCCACGGCACATGTCTGCCCAAGAAATACGTCATCGAACGACCTAAATATGAAGAGAATCTATTACACCCAAGTTACCTACTTGATATCGTGAAGTATGAATACTTGTGTGTTGTAAGTACTCAGATTTGTCAACATAGTTTATTTTTTTTTATTTTATTACTAAGATTAAAGGGTGCAATTCAGCCAGTGACTGTATTGCTTGTTGTTCATTCACGATAACAAAGGTGTAAGGCCTTATCACCTTTGAATACTATTTTTTTTCTTTCATCACATTTCTTAATAACTGGCATTTAGCTCGTGTTGACTTCCAGTTTTGTTTAAAGACATATAGTCCTCCATATATCGAAATCGTTAACGTTTCAGATCTTCAACATATCAGCTTGTCGCTGGCTGGCTAACGCATGTGTGAGCAATTTTTACTCTTCCGATCCTGCGGGAGCTTGCAGATTATGGATACATCCTCACTTAGTCAGCCAAACTAGTATGTACATACATTTTAAAAAATCAACAAGGTCATTTACCTTTAAGTAGGAAAGAGGGATTATTGGACTTCGCTTTATCTATATTCTATTTTCAGTTCTGCCAACACTGTCGACAAATAAATCAGAATCACCTCTAATAAAAAACGAAATACATCTAACTAATGGGCAGGTAAATAATAGTTATAATTAATTTTGACTCAACTATCGCACAACTGTTGTGCGATTGTCAATTGTTTCGCAGCCAATTCAACTGTTTAGTTGCATAATTAAAAATATAGTAGTGTGCGCAATAAGCTCATAAAAATCGTAGCGAGACTAAAAGGTTATGCGATAGTTTAGAGAAAGGTGTCCGCGCTCTAAGTTTATGTTTCAATGTGATTTTTCTTACAGAATAAAATATTAATTAGTGCAATCAGATATAAAAATGATGGAACCTTTAAACGTCTTTTGGATCCACGCAAAAGAATTGTTCCTTGTCTTCCACCTTTCTCGATAACAATAGGTGAAGATTACTCGTAAGTAACTATTTAAGTTTTAACAAGTTTTGTGCTAAAATTAGTATTAACTAGTAAAAAAATAACTCGTTAAAACTATCGTGAGATATTATACTATATTGATTATAACACGGCTACAGTCACCGACCAATTTCGGATCCGTCGTGTGTCCTACTACAGGGTAAGAAGGCTTCTTCATGAGAAACTGCTCGGTGCCTACACCGACGGTTATCGTGAGTTTAGTCATGACATAATTAATAAACTAAAAATTGTTTACATATTTTCTTACAGGCTGCAATGTCCTATCAATACTTCAGAAGTAACTTTTTTAGATGATGAATTACACGCATTATACGCCTCTGATAAAAGTAGGAAACCTGTATTTATATTAATAAGAAAACCCAATGGACAGTACGTGAAGGTAAGTACCACGATACTTTGGAAAGGGATTGGGCACAAGAATTCTTAAGGCTTCGCTTAAATGGCCATTAAAAATGTTGCTGCGGTTAAAAGCAAATTAGGTAACTAACTAAGCCAATGTTAATTCAAATGTGTATTTTAATGAATAAGTTTTTTTACAGAACGGCTTGTGGTATTCAAATAAGTTTTCTAAATACTTCATATTCCGTCGATCTCTGTCTGCGACATCTAATATTACCGATTTAATATATTTGAGTGCCATGCTGATACAAATCCGGTAAATAACATTTTATTTTTCATAAGAGCGGGCGCACAACTTTGACAAAACTATCGTACAACTGTTGGGCGATTGTCGATTGTTTCGCTGCCGATTCAATTGTTTAGTCGCATAACTAAAAATCGAGTAGTGTGTATCCATATTAACTCATAGGAATCAAACCGAGACTAAACAGTGTGATATATTCAAAGATGTCCTTGCGCTCTAAAAATGAAGTGGACTTTAATTTTTTTAGTAATATTTCTTGTTGGTTCAGGACAAGTTTATTGGTGTTTTATCGCTAAAACTTATTTGTGAAATCAATAAGTAATTAAAAAAAAGATAGAAATTATTAAATAGTTACTTATTTTTCATGTAATTTTTAGTATCGAGAGAAGCCAGCGTAGCGCGGGGGCTTTAAAATTATATTTGAATGTGGAAGCTCATTACGATGTTAAATCTCCTGCATCTGGTACCTTTTTAACGTCTCTGAGAGTGACAAATGATTTACCAAGCGCTGGAGTTGTACGTGGATTGGAGGTTAAATTATTGAATTTACTTATAAGTAACTAGCTATTGCTCGCGACTTCGTCCGCGTCGCGCGTAAAAGAATTTTTAAATTCGGCCCAGTAGTTTTTGAGTTACTTCAATACATACAAAAATACAAAAAATCAAAAATACAAATATTTCTCCTTTATAATATTAGTATAGATTGATAGGAATTTTCTGCTACTAGCAAATTTCAGATGAGAAAGTTAATGGGTACAAGTCTAAATAATTTCGTATACTAAGTAAGTTAACTCGGTAAAATATCTCCAAGTCGGCCATCTATCCTTGTCTTTTGTGATTCGTTTTAATTAACTACTAATGAATGTTTTTTGCAGATATGGGGTAGTATCCTCAGTATTCTGATGGCAGGCTACGCGTTGCTGCAGTGGCGCGGTGTGTTGCGACGTGGAGGTCTGAAAGTTTCTCTACTGCCAATCATAGCTGGATGTATCTCAGATGCAATCTATTTTGTACGTTTTATTCATATTTCAATATTGGAACTTTTTTATTTTAAAGTTATAGAGAACCTGTTTACGCCTACGACTCCGTCCGCATGGAATACAGGATTAAAAATAAGTACCCTATGAGTTCTTCCAGACTATTCTCTACACTTCTATAAACTCAAAAAATCATCCATCCATACATTCAGGCAACCTGGACTACATTACTCCATGCATTGGCAGCGGAAGCTGGTACTCTTGGTCTGACTCTACCACTGTCACAATACGAGGAGCAAGTGACGGCGGCTATGATTTATACAATCCTCACTTTGAAGGTAATTTTTAATATTTTTTTAATAACTGGAATTAAAAACAAAAAAACCATGAATTCATCTGTATCAAACACATTGTATCTGTTCATTCAAATACCATAAAAGGAATAAAATGACATTATGTTTTTGAACTAATTTTATAGTAGTAACCATCCGTAGATTAATAAAGTGATTTTTTTAGGTTATAAAAGTAGCGTACGTAAATTGGATATTGTCACGTTATGATATATTTTTTATCGACTGGTCTGAATACAATCCTTGTTTTAAAGGTAATTTACAACAATTACTTTTTTAAAATTATTACATTGTTATTGTTCAGTAAATTTTATTATACACTTTCAGATACATTTCTATATGAAACAAATGGGAGGAAACATGGGATTTTAGCAAGAGAATGGATTGAAATGCAAACAAAAAGGAGAACGTCCCCTGAACTAAATGTTATATTAACACTTGTGAATTTACATGTACGTATTTTTGTATTTTATTTAATCTGTGTAACGTTTAACACCTGAATATTAAAGTACCTATTTAACTTTCTTAAACTATCTCTGTTCAAAGTAAAACTTTGCTCGTAAATAATTACAGCCTTACTAATAAGGCAAAGTTTAATTTTAAGACCCCTTTATGACTTAAAAAGTTACTTAAAAGTTATGAATAATTCTTCACTTTTCATCCATTACTTACTTTAATTTTATTAAATACAAGCTTTCGCCAGCAACTCCGGCAGCGTGGAATTAAAAAGAAAACAAAAGTAGGTATTCTATGTGTTCTATGCCAAATTTCATCGATTTTCGTTCAGCCGTTTACGCGGCAAACTCTAACAACGTCCATACATCCATCTAAACTTTCGCATTTGTAATATTAGTAAGATTACTCAATAATTATTCCATTCTGGTTTGCAGTTAATGAAGCCATGGCAATCGATTCTACCCAAAAGTGGAGGATATAAATGGGCCATTGCTACTATTGCCTGGTGGTCTTCTTATATAGTGGTTTTCTTGGTACAAATTATTGTGGAGAAGCTACGTGGATCTCCCCCAAATAAGCTTCAAAAGACTTGCACTGGTCTAGAAATTTCCATGTTGGTATTTCAAGAAGAATTATACGCTCATTATGTGCATGGACGGTAAGTTTTTTTTGTCTAAATGGTGGCAACAAGAAAGCGACAGCGACTTACTAAATTCGAAATTCAAAAAGATAGCGAAGCTACCGCTGCTCCGCCCATAGACATAAGCATTAGGTTTAAATGCCGCAGATGCGTAGATTTTTATTTTCAAGAGTCTATGGTCTGGACTCAATTACTATTAAAATAATACTTTTGAGTCTAAAATATCAACTGAAGTAAGACATTTGCTTTATCGAACAATAATGTAAATGTTATCTAATTGTTTGTGTTTATAGCAATGACGAATCTTCCGATACGAAATATTTGTCGGGACCATTAACGACATGTCGGATATCGTGTGCACCGCAATTTAGGTAACCATTAATCTATTTGTTAAATTAAAAACTTTATTAAAATTAATAATGACTTAAATGTTTTAAAGGGCCATCTGTAAGCAACTCCTTGTTACCGAGGAAAGTAAGTAAAATATTTTTTCAAATGTTCGTTGACTATAAAGTATAAAAAGTTTAAAATAGGTAATTTTTACAGGGTCTTTAGAAAAATGTGAAAGTAAACAAATTCTGTTATCAAAATTCTTAGGAGCTTTCTTTGAAAGAGTTAAGTATTTGTTTTTTTTTATGATTATTGAATTACTTATTATATATTAGCATTTTTTTAATTTGCAGGCATTAGATGGCCTCAGCTGGGTGGCTAGTGAAAGAACAGTTCTCGAAAAACTTTTAGATTTGGAAATTGTAACTAGAGAAGGTGGCAACACCAGTACATTACTCTATGACAGTGACAATTTAACGCCATCTTGTTTTGCTATAACTTGGTAAGCGAATTTGAATTATTTTACGATGTAACCGTGGGTTTTACTTATATTTATAAATCAAACGCTGCCATAGAATTTACCGATCATTAAGCTTACCAAAATGTTACCGCAGGTGGGGTAACGAATGGACGCTGGCAACATTCGATTCCATAGTATTTACTAGTGTACTATTTTCTACCAAGGAACCTTTATATGCAGCTTTCGTTACTATAACAGTATGGCAGGTAAATGATATGAAGGAAATAAATATTGTAAGCAAAGGAAACCGATAAAAAATCAATTATTATTTCAGATAATGAAACAAACGATCACATGGCTAGCTAATAAGAATGTAAAAGAGAAAACCAATATAAAAAGTCTCTGAATCATAGATAAAAAATATTTAGACTATGTCTACAATAAGAAAAATATTTCTTTATTGTTACTTGTGTGAATTCTTGCTTACAATACACAGAAGTACAAATATAACACAAAGTGGATACACAAATTGCAAGAAATGTATTTTAAAATGTTACCCATTTCATATAATTAAAGATATCAACAATTTAAAAATCCAAAGGACAAGCGACAATAAATACGTGCGTAGAAATCACAATAAAGTATTGAGTAAATATTTTGTAAGCGATCATGATTTATATAAGAAATATCTTAATTTATTTCTTAATCAAAGCAAGGAACATGACAAAGATATGTCTGAGGATATTGCATCAGAATTATCTACGACATTACCAACCATTTCTCAAAAGGGTCCTTTTTATGATTTCATAGTAAATCTGTGTAAAATCATAATAAATGATATGCCATTATCGAGGATTCATAAAATATTATCAATGCTAAAGGTCAATTTCAGACACCTATGGTATGATGTACCTTTTCAACGTGCATTGAGAATTTTCTCGAAAACAATCGATAGAATGGATATATTAAAAAGTGTAGCACTTAAACAGAAAGTTCGAGAATTTTTATCATTTTTCAGAAACAATAAACCAAGAAAGAGAAACTTCATTATTATACTAAATTCAATATACAATGTGTATGACAGTAATAAAATGGACGAATATCTTTACAATTTAAAGAAATACGCCGCGAGAAAAATCCACAGAATTAGACGTAAAACAGAAAATGTTTTACAAAAAGTAATTTTTCGTGGAATAAATAAACAACCAAAGTCAGTAAAAAAGAAAATTAATGCTAAATTCAGATTAGCGTTGATAGAATACTTGGAGGAACATAAAAGTTAAAACCGCGTTGATTAATTTTCAAGCAAACGTTAAATTGCGATGATTGTGTGACGCTTAAACATGTGACCAACGTAACAATGAACAATGGGAAACAGATTTTCATTATTGCGTTTCTCGCGGTTATACTCAAAATTGTGTGTACAAAAGAAAATGTTATAATCATAAGTCGGAGAGACTTAGATTCGTATAGATTCTTTTACGATTTTTTAAGTGATTACGTTAATTTATTAAGAACTTCATTTCCAGAAAAGAAACTTGTTGAATATTGTAGAATTGTAAGTTCATGTTTAAGTGGTCTGGACTATAAGTATGCTAGAAAGTTCCATAGGTATGTTAAAAGATTATGCCGAAGTCCTGCGTACGATATAAAAGAAGAGGTAATATCCTATAGGTACGTTTTAGATCAAGAACTACCAAATCGAATCAGCTTCCTGTCGACAATGGACGAGCTGTTCACAATTGATGACAGAATTATGTTTAAAGATTATGTAAATGATTTAAAAGATTTCGGATATGGAGATAAATTATACATTTACAAGGAAACCCATAGAATAATATACGAAGTTATATTAGATAATATTCTTAACCGTAGTGAAAATCATCAAAACAAATTAGCTACAAAACTTAAAAGAGCTATCAAAGAATATAATCAATACACATCTTAGTTTAATTTAAAGTTTAAATAAATTATAGTGTTACGATTGTTTTACTTATTAATTTGACACCTAAAATAAACAGAATTATAGTTATCACTTGTGCCTGTAACGCAGAGGGGACGCAAAAATTATGGGTTTGTATTAGTAGACGGACATATATGATGGACTGAAATGTCCCCACCACCCAAACTTTTGAGTCTTGAGGAGTCATTTACTACATTGTTTAAAGTTAGTTAAAAATAAACTTTTTGGGAATTCCCCTCAATTGTAAATCCCCTAGCAAAGATTCCCTGCAATAAGTCCAGATAATATATTCAAAAATAAATTACAGTATAGAATCTATAGATAGCAAACTGGACCGGTGTTTACCGTTGGGTCAATCGGTGGATTGATTCAATAGAATTGTCCATTAATTTAATTATTAATTAATAATAAAGCTCGATATTTTTTTATTCGATTAAACAGAATGTCAATAGTTTATAGTTGTTCCTATGCGTTATTTACCATTCCACAACAACGACGACGACGTTAGTGTTATGAAAACTTGGAATTTATATATTATAAACATCTAATTAATGTAAATGGTAGTTAAAACTGATAAAAAGTTGTTGAAAAAATAATTTTGTATCTATAAATCGTGTAAACTTGAATGTCATCTAGATATTTTGTCAATAAACTAGCAACACTGCAGACATCGATAGGAACAAATGAAATACGGCAACGTCACGCACTTCTAAAGTGGAAAGAGACTATTCATTCGGCGTTTTGAAACTGAAAATTTACTATTATACATTAGATTTGTGTTAAAATGGCAGACAACAAGAGGTAAGTGCTCATTATATCAAAATGCACATTTTTCAAACAGGATAACACAGTTGTATCATTGAAACCGTGATTACTGTAAACTCAACTTCGAAATTTAGCTTGTCATCATGTCCAATTGCAATATTACAATACAAACGAATAATTTTCACATGTTGAATAAGTAACAATTATTGTTTTTTATTAAAAAGTTTGTTGCTAAAACTTAATGGTGGTTTCGACATTACTCCCAACGTTAAACGACACTTGGCTTGATTCGACTTGTAATGTAATCGATTATTTCGCAGCCCCGATGATTTATCCACCGCGATCCTCCGCCGCAAGGACAGGCCGAATCGTCTCATCGTGGAAGAAGCCGTCAGCGATGACAATTCCGTTGTGGCATTATCACAGGTAATTTCCTTTGTCTAATTAGTTACCCCCAACAGTACTTCGATTACTCATAACTAAGAACTCTGAGATGAAAATTACTTAGAAATCACTTTTTATACAATTGATGATTTAAAAAAAATGATATTTGATCTATACATGATGTAGGTCATAGTTTACATGAAGTGTTGATATTGAGGTCATCAATAAAGATGTCTAAGTAGGCAGGGTGATATAGGCTAGTTGTTTGTAGATACAAATCTACATTGTTATATTGAACTCCTTCTACATTGAAAAGTAATGGGTTCCAATAGGTAGTTTATGTTATATAGGCAGCTTTAAAACTGCAAATTTTTAGTAAATACTTTGCAAATTAATTATGTCTCATCTGAAAAATTTATAATCATTGTTACTTGCTTATTTTGTTTTGACCACTGATTTGTGGTAAATATATTTGAAAAACTTTATAACTAGGTTTTAATTGCTGAAACAAACTAAGAAAAACCCGTTGATGTCCCTCTCCCTCTATCTCAATAGATGTCACCCTATGTCTCAACATAACAGATTTAAAATATTAATCTCATATGTTGTGTACCTTTTAAGACTATTGTTATTATTTTTTACCTTATTTCAATGGTTACTATCTTCATAAAAATATAACTTAAAAGTAGCCTTCCATACCTATCCCAAATTTCATACAGATCTATGTAGTCATTCTGGAGGTACCTTCTCATAAACATCCACCCATCTAAACTTTCATGTTATATTAGTAACATGCAAATATCTGCATAAATGTTTTTTTTTTTTGCAATGTGGTATGGATGAAGTTACAAGCTTGTTTAAATCATTTTCACCAAACATTAATTTGAATTTTTCAGTTAATTTTATTTAGTCTGTCTTTTTGTGGCTAACATAAGTACACAATTTTTTATCTAAACATTTTGTCTGTGTAACACATACACAATAGGAATGTTTGCTTAATATAATTTTTTATCTCTGTATTTTACTGTTTACCAGAGTAGAATAAAAACAGAATTTATTTCTAACCTCTTAAAACAAATTTCAACAATAGTTTACAACAAAACATCTGGCATCGCCAGCCAATTCTTGGTTACGTCTAGGGAGGGGCAGCTACCCTTAATGTAGTCCTATTTGATGTAGCTTTTATATGTACTTTACTTTTGTCGTCCCAAAGGGTCTGTTTACTGATTACATTCTTCAACATTGCTAAAAGCTTGAAAAAAGATTAACATAAGAGAAGTTGCATTCCATTTTTATTTGTAAATAACAATACTGGGGAAATTTGGCACCAGCAAATCCATCGGCCTTCAATCATCATCATCAGAAAATCAAAAGCTTTGTAACACCTTTTGAGCTCTGAATGCTCTATCTCCATCTAGAGATATAAATCTATGACCATTTTTGTTTTGAACAAAATGTTCACTCAGAGTTATTTGTAATGGTAATTTATTGTAATACAGTATTGTACAGTACATAAAATTCTAGATTCTTATGTATTCTGTTACATTATAAATGAGATCCTGAAATAGGACTTTTAAATTTGTTTATATACTTTTCCATAGATTTTTTATAAATTTTATTTAAGGTTCTTTATAAATGGTTCATAAGGTTTTACAATGTAACCTTTTATACAGGCGAAAATGGAGCAATTGCAGCTGTTCAGAGGTGACACCGTTCTCCTGAAAGGCAAACGTAGGAAAGAAACTGTTTGCATTGTGCTCTCAGACGATAATTGTCCAGATGAGAAGATCCGTATGAACCGCGTAGTGCGGAACAACTTGCGCGTCAGGCTGTCTGATGTTGTATCCATCGCTCCATGCCCATCTGTCAAATACGGCAAGAGAGTACACATCTTGCCTATTGATGACTCCGTGGAAGGATTAACTGGGTGAGTGATAATAAATACCAACCTACAATCACTTACTAAATGTAAAAATTGCGTCTATACATTATTATTGGAAAACACTACATCTACTTCCTCAAGTTGTCTATAATTTTTTTAACTTGTATTTGGTTTGGCTCAGTATTGTATTTTGTTTTTTGTTATAAACAGAAACCTGTTTGAAGTATACTTGAAGCCATACTTCATGGAGGCATACCGGCCCATCCACCGCGATGACACTTTCATGGTGCGCGGTGGTATGCGCGCTGTCGAGTTCAAGGTGGTGGAGACGGATCCCTTGCCGTACTGCATTGTGGCCCCCGATACCGTCATACATTGCGAGGGTGAACCCATCAAGCGTGAGGTCAGTGTTGTTTTGCTATTTTTCCCTAATAGGTATTGTACAATTATTTTTGGGGATCTCCTGCACATGGAAGTAATTTCATTGTTGTGAAATGTTGTGCAATGAGCAGAATTTTAAATAAATTTATGTTAAATATGGTGATCTCACATCAATTTTAGTTGAGTAACTTTTTTCTTATTACATTAGTTTAGTTAGAAGATTAGATTTTAGATTTGATATTTTAAATGATTTTAACAAGCTAACTATTTGATTTATTTAAATTTTTGTAAAAAATAACTGCTATCTGTATTTCCATATTTTTAAGTGTATTTAAAGTATGTTAATATTGTAACATTAGGAGGAGGAGGAGGCTCTGAACGCGGTGGGTTATGACGACATCGGCGGGGGCCGCAAGCAGCTGGCGCAGATCAAGGAGATGGTGGAGCTGCCGCTGCGGCACCCCTCACTCTTCAAGGCTATCGGTGTGAAGCCTCCTCGTGGTATCTTGATGTACGGCCCGCCAGGTACCGGCAAGACCCTCATCGCTCGCGCTGTGGCTAATGAGACAGGTCCGTTTATCAAAATAATATCAAATTAACATAGTTACAATATTACTTAAAGAGTTTTTTTTTGTTTTTGAACACTATAGATTTATATAAAACATTGTTTTTCATAACTGAATTCGATTGTTTGAAGTCGGTACTGATTAGTTCTGTTATGTTGTGCACAATTATTCAAAACTAAAAAATATGAATGTCTGTGTTTTTTTTGTACATATTATTAGAGAAATAACAGATGTAGAGAAATATTTTACACAAAGTATGTTCACATTTATCTGTAAAAAAAAATCTCTATGAGGACAATGATTTAAAAATTTGTGTGAATAATCTTTATTGGCAAAAAAGACTAAAACATGCTTGGATTGATAACATTTTCATAACCTATGCTTGTCTACATCACAATTAGTTAAATAAAGCATTTAAAAAAATATCTTTTATAGGTGCATTCTTCTTCTTGATCAATGGTCCGGAGATAATGTCAAAGTTGGCCGGAGAGTCGGAGTCCAACTTGCGCAAGGCTTTCGAGGAGGCGGACAAGAACTCTCCGGCGATCATCTTCATCGACGAGCTGGATGCCATCGCGCCCAAGCGGGAGAAGACACACGGCGAGGTGGAGCGCCGCATTGTCTCCCAGCTGCTTACATTGATGGATGGTATGTTTTAAAAGTACAACTTTTAACATTTTCTACGTTACTTATCTGAAAAATTAAAAGTCTAAAGTTATTTGCTTGTTTTTGAACCCTCTAACCGCAGTTTTGGGTAAAGAAATGGTAAAAACTGTATAAATGGGTTTCCATTGATGAAAAATTTTGAAATTATATTGATGTACCACTCAAAGTATTAGGACATAACAGATATAAATTTGTTCTGTACATCTAGTATGACTTGCCATGACTTTTTTGAAAATTCCAGAGATTATTGTCAATAACATGAATATTTCTGTTAAGTTCTATGAATTTTAATTGAAATTTCTTGACCTAATTTTTTTTTGTATAGCACAATGTGTTTTAAGTAAGAAATTTGTGACTTGTTCTTAAGTTGTTACGTCATAGTTCTCTAACCGATAATAACAGATATGTATACTTTAAAAATATTCCCATTATTTTTTGTTAAAATTATTGCAAAAGTGCAGGTTAAAAATCTACAAAGCTAATGTACATTTTTATTTCAAAACGTGCAATAAATTAATATTCATGTCCAATTTAAAAACCCAATAACTGTATAGGTATGAAGAAATCGTCTCACGTGATCGTGATGGCGGCGACGAACCGGCCGAACTCTATCGACCCCGCGCTGCGCCGCTTCGGCCGCTTCGACCGTGAGATAGACATCGGCATACCGGACGCCACCGGCCGCCTCGAGATACTGCGCATACATACTAAGAACATGAAGCTTGGTGATGACGTCGATCTTGAACAGGTATACCACGCCTAGAAGGTTACAATTTACTACTTCTTATGGTATCTCTTTAATGCTGGAAATTGGCTTTATCTATTATAGAAACTTGTCAAAAACCCGCACCGGGAGTTAGTCTATGCTAATATAAAAAAGGAATAATTTGTATTTTTGGATTTTTTTATGTATTGGAATAACTCAAAAACTACTAGGCCGATTTTAAAAATTCATGCACCGTCAGATAGGTAATTTATCTGTGAGTAAGGTATGTTTTTTTTAATTTCACGCGGACAAAGTCGCGAGCAACAGTTAGTTGAGATATAAAAGAATTGATAAAATTTGGTACACATGTAGAACATAGTCTGGAAGAACACATGCATTTTTTTTAATTCTACGCAGATGGTGTTATAGCGTATTTTAACATATAAATGTATTTTCAGATCGCGGCGGAGTCTCACGGGCACGTGGGCGCGGATCTGGCTTCGCTGTGCTCGGAGGCGGCGCTGCAGCAGATCAGGGAGAAGATGGACCTCATCGACCTCGAGGATGATCAGATCGACGCGGAAGTTCTCAACTCTCTCGCTGTCTCTATGGATAACTTCCGTGTAAGTTATACTACTTACATGTTTGTTATTTTTTGTACAAAATTATGTGATTATTTTATTATCATTCATGTGTAATAAGTAATAGAATTGGAATAATGATATATAATTTCTTATTTTTAATGAATCTAATAAAACATTTTTACATGTTAAAAATATATTTCTATAGTTTAAGGGTAGACAACACATCTGCAATTGCGGATGTTTATGGGCAGCGGTCGCTTTCCATTTCGGCGGATTCAGGTGGTCTCTTGCGCGTTTGCCACCTTATTATGAAAAAAAAATGTAATATGAATATCGTTCCGTATGTGTATTGGCATGTATTGTGCAGTACGCGATGACGAAGTCGTCCCCGTCGGCGCTGCGCGAGACGGTGGTGGAGGTGCCGAACGTGACGTGGTCGGACATCGGCGGGCTGCAGAGCGTGAAGCGCGAGCTGCAGGAGCTGGTGCAGTACCCCGTCGAGCACCCCGACAAGTTCCTCAAGTTCGGCATGCAGCCCTCGCGCGGAGTGCTCTTCTATGGACCTCCGGGATGCGGTAATACAAAACCATACTACAGCATGACTTAAACGCACGATTTTTTTGTTTTAAATACCATAAATTTAAACGGGTAGTAAATTGAACATAGATTAAGGGAATAATAAGGAAAAAAATGATTTTTCTAAATAGTCTATTGCGTAAGGAAGAAAAGAACGATGTATAAATGCGTCATCATGCATTAAAGGGTTAAAATTATACAGGTGACTTGTTTCTCGGTAAAATTATGTGATAAAATTAGTGTTTTTTTTTTTCAAATTTCATATGTTTCATGGAAATTTGGCCATGCTTGCTTCTTATATGACTATGCGTTGTATTTATTCTTCAATTATTGGTTAAGTGTGCTTAGCAATCTCAGTAATATTATAAATTCGCAAGTTTAGATGGATGATTGAATGTATATTTGTTAGTTAAAATTTACAGCCTGGTCTACTTTTTTAATTCAGCATGTTTATGCTAATTATTTAAGTACTAGCGTTCGCCCGCGGCTTCGTCCGCGTGGAATTAAAAAAATAAAAGTGAGTAGCCTATGTGTTCTTCCAGAGTATCCTCTACATCTATACCAAATTTCATCGAAATCGGTTTAACCATTTAGGCTACAAACTCTAGCAAACATACATCCATCTAAACTTTCGCATTTATAATATTAGTATGATTTTCTTATACAATCGCCAAATATCCGGTTCTTGATGATCAATGTTCTCCAGTCACCCTGTATAGTTCGTTTCAAATATCTTGTGGAAATCCTTTTAATAACTATTTCACGCTATGCTTCTTGTATGTTCAGGTAAGACTCTGCTGGCGAAGGCGATTGCTAACGAGTGTCAGGCCAACTTCATCTCAGTGAAGGGTCCGGAGCTGCTCACCATGTGGTTTGGTGAATCTGAGGCCAACGTGCGAGATATCTTCGACAAGGTAAGTTATTATAGCTTTAGTCGAAAAACATCGAGCTAATTCCAGTCTAGAAAGGTTCTTAATACATTAAAGGGACTAAAATATCAACCAGTATCGGTTGCTGTTGCTAGCCAGTTCTTCCACCTGCAATTAAAAAATACTAATAAACATAGTCTATGTTACTCGGCGAAAACGTAGCTTTTTATTGGTGAAATTTTTTTTGAAATCGGCCCAGTAGTTTTTGAATTATTTCAATACATACAAAAAATCTAAAAATACAAATCTTTCCACTTTATATTACTAGCATAGATCAAAGCAGTTTTGATCTATTTAACTGTGAACTATCGTTATTATTATAACTAATGTCATATTAAGCTGTTTCTCGTATTGTTATCTATATCTATACTTCTTTACTAATGTTGTAAAGTGGACAGATTCACGCAAAAACTTCTAAGCGGATTTTAAAAATTCTTTCACCATTACAAAGGTAAATTATCTGTGAGAAACATAGTTTATATTTGATTATTACTAATGTTTAAGAACCATTAATAATCATCTATAAAGTTTTGCTTGTATTAATTTAGAAATAACGAATCTGTTTTCAGGCTCGGTCAGCGTCTCCCTGCGTGTTGTTCTTCGACGAGTTGGATTCTATCGCGAAGTCCCGCGGCGGCTCGGTGTCGGACGCGGGCGGCGCTGCTGACCGCGTCATCAACCAGATCCTCACAGAGATGGACGGCATGGGCGCTAAGAAGAACGTCTTCATTATTGGTATACTAACTTTCACATTTCTTAAGCGGTTTTAACTTCGCGTGTTCCTGTGAAGAACACGTTTTTTAGGTGTAGCCTGTAGCAGCCCTTAGGGTACTTCCAGCCCCTCAGTGGGGATGTATAGTGAGATGACAATGGAGGGTGAGCACTGCGTAACCCGTTGATGACACTGGGCGGGGAAAATAATTCAAAAAGATCACACTGCTAAAATATTTATTATACCACAAGAGACAAAACAGCTGTGCGATATTTTAGTCATAAGTGTACAAACGTTCTTATCCAAATTGTATGATTTGATGGTTTACTTTTACAGTTTGTATAGTAAGGTTGTGTTGTGTTGTTTAGGCGCCACCAATCGTCCGGACATAATCGACCCGGCGATCCTGCGGCCGGGCCGCCTGGACCAGCTCATCTACATCCCGCTGCCGGACGAGAAGTCGCGCGAGGCCATCCTGCGCTCCAACCTGCGCAAGTCCCCCATCGCCAAGGACGTCGACCTCTCCTACATCGCCAAGGTCTCCTACACACAATACTCTGTGATACATTCGACCTCAACTATACATATAATAAAATTGAAGTGTCTGTATGTGAAATAAAAAAAAAGATTTCGCAAAATTGATGCATTTCCAGTGCTAATAACGAAAAAATAACGAAGGTCGATTTTGATGACATCATATGCGGCAATGTTTTAGCCTACATTTTATTATTCGTTTTAAGTCGTGATTGACCGGATTTCTTTCCCAACCGGCACCCCGCTCTGTCCCCACGTGAGAATAAAAAGTTTCATCCGTCCGATCTTTTAGTCCCACTACCACCTATTAGGTGACAGATGGCACTGTTAAGAAAAAACAAGATCCAACCGTCCCCTTGTCGCAAAAGTTGGGATGTATGAAACTTATTCTCATCTGTTCCCATGTGGGGACATAGCAGGTTGACGGTTGGGAATAATCCGATTGACCGTTAGTTCTAAAACTACCTGACAGAAATAGAATTGCCGATGATATGAGAACAATTTGCTCAATGTGATGTGTGGTGCAGGTGACGCAAGGGTTCAGCGGCGCGGACCTTACGGAGGTGTGCCAGCGCGCCTGCAAGCTGGCCATCCGGCAGGCCATCGAGGCTGAGATACAGCGGGAGCGCACCCGCCAGCAGCAGACGCCCGCCGCGGTCATGGACGTCAGTACCCTACACTGTCTCCACATCCTTATGTCACTATTAACATTCTTTCGGCCGAACTGAAACTACATTAAATATCTTAAAATAGATAAGCGGTTGTTGGAAATGACAGCTGTTGTTTCGTTCCGATCAAAATTACAATAACCATTTAATAGAGGTCATTGGCCAAATAAACTATTCCGATTTAAAAAAAAATCTTACACCATCAAAAAGCTAGGGCATCAATAATTAATATTATTATTGCTAAAGTTTGGATGGATGGATGTTTGTTAGAGTTTTTAGGTTATACAGCTGAATCTCGATGAAATTTGTCATTGCGTGTAGAGCATGGTCTGTAAGAACACATAGCTACTTATTATTGTTTTTTAATTCCACGCGAACAGAGTCGCGGGCGAAAGCTAGAGTTAAAATAAAATCGATTATAGGTGCCCAATACGATTTATAATCCCGGTATCAAATTTGAAACTTCAAGTATTTAAGGTTTAATAATCCAATTGCAGTGTTCAGTAATAAAGACTTGTAATGTATGCAGATGGATGAGGAGGACCCAGTGCCGGAGATCAGCCGCGCCCACTTCGAGGAGGCGATGAAGTTCGCGCGGCGCTCCGTCTCCGACAACGACATCCGCAAGTACGAGATGTTCGCGCAGACGCTGCAGCAGAGCCGCGGCTTCGGCACCAACTTCAGGTAACCAGCGACACAAACACTCACAGTCTTACTAATAAACGCGGTACTAAGTTAAACTTAGGAATAAACTGAGTATAAGCAAATATTAGAACAAATTTCGCTTATACTCGATTTATTCCTGAGTTTAACTTTATTACGTTAATACCTTCAAGTTTAAAAATACAAGAGGAATCTTCTCTTATCCGCTTATGCTACCTTGATTACTCCTACCGATATATTAAAATCAGTTTAAATTGCAACAAGACAGTTTGCCTCTTAGGTAGGCTCCGACGCCCTCCACAGAGATATATATTGAACTGGTGATGATGAATCAGTTTAGTTTTACCAGATATAAACGCCCCCAGGATCAAGAATCAACGGGAAAAAGTAACTTAAACGTGGGCTGGGTACAGTTTATTAAAAAGAAAATACGCTTCAGTTCATTTATCTGTGCCTAAGCATACTAAATTGGTACTTGTAACCGACTTCCCAAATGGAGGTACTCAATTCTTTATTTTTTAAGCTACAATTTGGTATGTCTAAAAAATTACACTATTAAATGTGTTTTTGTACAGTTTTTGTGTAGGTGAGTTTAATAATTATTGTATGTGCAGGTTCCCGAGCAGCGGCGGCGCGGCGGGCGGCACCGGCACGTCGGGCGGCGACCAGCCCACCTTCCAGGAGGAGGGCGGCGACGACGACCTCTACAGCTAAGCGGCGCCTCCCCCGCATAGCGCATACAACTACTTAAGAATTATCGGTTCAGTGATGTTTGGGTAGCGGGCTTTCAAACAATCCCCCCCCCTCCCCCACCTCAACCTTTCCACCACAATTTAAAACAATACAAATTTAAAAGTACCTTTTTCTTAAATCGAAATTAAATCTCATTTGAATTATATTGAAACTGAAAGCCCCGCTTGGGAATCAGATAGTGCACGTACTCCGGCGTCGGCTCGTCTGCGTCTATTCATCGCCATGAGAGTATTTATTGATCGATTTAGTTCTGGTCCGCTTTAGTTTTCGCGCCGACCGTCGTTACCGCCGTCTGATAGTAGGATACGTCGCTCCGCCGACATGTGTAACGCAGTGATTTTTGAATAAATAAAAAGATTTTTATAGTCTATATGTTAGTTTTATTTTTAATGTAACCCTACCTCTAACTTTTGAAATCCGAAGCCATACAATATACTACTACCACCTCTCACCTTTCCCATTCACTAGAAATTTTATCACCTTTCAACTAAACTTAGTAAAAAGGTGGTAAAACTCAAGTCTGTAGGTAAAGATAAATTGCGTTTATCAAATCCTATTGACAACTTTATTTTTAAACATCGCACACACTTTTATTACACTTTTAGCATTTCACACTTTATCATCGCCTTTTACTACCCTTAATATTTTAACACCTTTTGGCTTCTTCCATACTTGCATTATAAATCATACACAATCGACTACTCGACCTTAGTCTCGTGCAGTACAAGCGTAAGTATAGCGTAGCTGGGCGTCCACGCTGGCGCCTCAAATCAAATTTTTACTCCCATAACCCTCTCGTCCATAGACAAGGTAAAAAAGATAGCTTCAAAAAAATCTCGCCCATTTAATCAAACAAAAACTGAAAAATCATTGTTTTAAAAACCCTAAGATTTATTTATGTGCGATTGGCTCTTCTGTTTTTTAAATATCTCCTTCAGTTCCGGCGATTCTTTCATTAAATTGCTTATAGAAAGCGCTCGGCTCTTTACGAAAGACTCGACGGGCTGAATCAAGTAATCAGACGGAAGAGAGCCGTCTATATGGAAACCCTTTTCTGGTTCCGTGTAAATTTCAACTGCTCTCATTATTTGATTCAAAAGGGATCTTGCGTGTTTTGCATCGAAACAAGTGCATAAATATTCAAATTCTAAATCGGAATACTGAGTTGCGACATCTCTCGTGTTGGATTCTGGAATGTCTGGAATCGCGACTGGTTTAGTCTTCCCTTTTGCTTTTTTAACGATACTTTTTAAAGTTCGTAAAGAACAAGTCTCGTAGTTTGGCAAATCAGGATAATCGAATGAGGACATGTTTCTCATATAAGGTGGTAAATGTTCTTGAAGAGTTTTCTTTGCAACTTTTGCGCATTGACATGATTTAGGTTTCATGAATTTGAAATAACTCTCCCATTTAGGTTCTCGAATGTGAACTAATTCTTTATCTTTGGGTAATTCTTTCTGAAGGGAAACACGTTTCGGTTCCACCATCTGTTCAGTTTTGATTTCATCAATAAATGGTATCGGTTGTAAAGAATGGTGACAAAAGCAATGAGTTAATTTACACGGGCAGAGGCACTCTGTTCGGACGTTCTTTGTATTCGGAATATCTTTTTGTAATATTTGCATTACTGAACTCTGTTCCTTCAATTCTAGCAGTTGTTCCGATAGTCTGTATTGAACGGGTACGTCGTAAGTGTAGTCGTGACTGTCTGTTAGATCCGGCTCTTTGGTACTTTCAACGTCAAAAAAGTGTTCCATTTTATCAGCGAATTCTGCCAAGTTATCACAAGCGGCATAAATACATCTTTTGTTCACAACTACTACGGGTAAGTGGGAGGAGCTGGAACGGTAAGGCTTTGGACAAATATTTCTCTCGAGCGATACTTTAGAACCACCGTCACCAAAAATATAGAAGGGTCGAATTTCTGGTACTGGGGTTTGGAATTCTTCTTTTTCTGGCACAAACAAGCTCTCCGCGTTTGGGTCTTCAAGAATTTCACTAATCTGTAATAACATGAGTTTTTCAATATTTAATAAGAAGTCGGCTTGTTCAGGTATCGTATGTAACGAGTAACTTATAAACTCATGGAATTTTTTAACCACATGGAACACTTTTTCTCGCCATATCTGTTGGAATCTCTCCCGCCTTTCCTCCTTTTCTATTTCTATTTTGATTTCCACATCTTTTCTTGCGATTTCTTTAGTCAATAGTTTAATTATTTTTTTATGTTCGTATGTGGCTTGGCTTAATAGTTTTTCATTTTCTTGTTTTTCTTTCATAGCGACGTAAATCTGACAAGCCAGGTTTTGACATTCTAGCAACTGCCGAAGTTTTTCTATAGTGATATGCTTTTCAACGTTAATATCATGTACTTTGTTTCCTAACTCCATACGTGATTGCTCTATTTTAGAGATGAATTGTTCTTTTAATTCGGATTTCTTTTTTTCCAGTTTCTCTGTGTATCGGTCATAGAGCATTGTCGCTTGTTGTTTTAGCAAGGTCTTGTAATGATTCGACATCTTTAAAAAGGCTATCTCTTTAACGCGTTCTATTTCAGCCATAGCAGAATTTAGCAACAAACTTTCGATCTTATTTATTGATGTCGTGTACAACATTGAAAATTCATGAAAGGCGTCCCTTATTTTGTCGGAATTTTTCTGAGCCGCTTTCTTAGAAAGTTCTTCGGTTTGTTGTTTACACAATTCTTCGATGTTCTTTTTCCATTGTGTGTCACTTTCCATCAGAGCTCTCTCTTTTTCCTCTTCTAACCTTTTAAAATGATATTGAAGTATAATTTCTCCATAATATTCCAGTCCACTGTAACCTAGTCTTGTGAGAAATTCCTTTTTCAATGGCTTGAGTACAGTCCTTCCCTTTAGGAGATCTTCAGGAGGTGCATACCAATCGTAACCTCCTCCTTTTAGGACCGGTTCCAAGCCCGCCAGTATCTTGTGCTTGTGCGTCATTGACTTGAAGAACACGTTTGCTAACGGCGGTGTCATGGTTTTCTTCATAACACTTTGTGTAGGCACTTGGTTTGACTCGAGGTAGCATTTCCTAAAGTAATAATTGTCGTTAAGTTTGTCCATTAAAAAAATTATTGTAAATTCAAATACAATTTTAATAAAAAATGTAGATTGTTTATCATGAGTGACGTTTTTAGATCTAATTTGTAGTTGTCAAATTTAAATTTTTTATCCCAATAATTTGTGCCAATGTTATAAACGTTTATTAAATTCAATTTTACGTTATGTTTAAATCAAAACTTTTACCTAGAAATCATATCACTTGTTTCTCAACTAAACTTCGATTTATTTGCATCAAAAAGTAAATAAAACACTGCATAATATATAACATTTATTTATTAAAATACTATTTCATTTATTAAAAAAATTACATTATTTCTGCTTATAAATAATAAAATTTCAGTCATAGTTAACTACGTGACTTCGCTCACCGCCATTTGTTGCAACAAGTTCATGACGTGGCAAAATCTTTCTTTTATCTCTGTGGCGGAGCGGTGCGGCAACAGCTGCCTTATCCGACCAAACACTTGTTCAGACCCGGCTTCTCCTTTCAGTACTTGCAACATTGTCTTATCTTCATCTCTCGTCCAACTTTTAGATTCAATTTTAACTGATGCCGTATCTATTTTTGCTTTGTGCATTGTGATTTTAACTTCATCTCTTGTCAAAGTCTTATTTTCTAATTTAATTGCCGTGTCTATGTTTACTTTAGATATAACCTTGTCTTCATTTTTCGTCAAACTTTTAGCTTCAAATTTAACTGTTGGTACTTCTGTTTTTGCTTGTTTCACTTTAGCCGTCTCATCTCTCTTTGGATTCGTCATTTTTACATCTACTTTCTCTTTTTTGTCTCTTTTACTCTCTTTAGTTTCTGAATCTTTTTTCTCTTTAGCGTTTTTGTTTTTTGTGACACCTTTACCTTTAACTGATTTGTTTAAAGTAACGGTACAATCTTTATGTTTCGTATTATCGTTTACATCTTTGATATTTTTTGTGGGCGATTTAAGTTGCTTTTTAGGTCTTTTTGATGGGATTTTACACGTGTTTTTGCTGTTTCTTTTCGGAGAGGACCTTTCGTCGTCAGACTCTGGTGGTGAGAGGTGACAATGGGCAGGGGCGAGGCGTCTCGCGTGCACTCTGTACGGTTCTTTACTGTATGGGTAAGTAACTGAGGCAGGTCGTAACAATCTACCGTGTTGCAGGAATACCCTCTCTTGAATGTACTAAAAATAAAAGGGTTCTTTTACATCATATATTATGAGAAGAGATGAATCGCATGTTACAAAACGGACGTTAGTTATGAATGTGGAGGGTACACCGGTAGAGGAAGACCTAGAAAGAGATGGATGGATTGCGTGAAAGGTGACGTGATCAAGAAGGGAGTGATGACTGAGATGTCGGATGATAGAATGCTTTGGAGGACGATAACACGGTGCGCCAACCCTACGGGGGTAGGATAATGCAGGGGATATGATGATGATTTACTTCACTTGCCTATTTAAAAATCTATCTAGCCAGTCTAAAATAATAACTTACCATTGTGTCTAAATTCTGTTTAGCCTCCAATTTCCGCTTGCTGTCGTTTTCATCTTCAAATTCCCAGACATCATATCCCTTATCTTCCGTTAGAAACTTTTCATCTAATACAGCTGTGCTGTTCTCATATATACTGTTGGAGATAAGTTTACATTGAAAGGTCTTAACTAATGGATCATAGAGTCATCAATATTTGCCCTTGACAAAAATTTGCGCGTGGAGTCGCGAAACCTACTATTACTACCTTTATTAAGCCCCTACTATTACTATTAAGCTACTCTAACCTACTACTACTCAGAACTATTAAGCACCTACTATTACTAATACTACTCAGAACTATTAAGCCCCTACTACTACTACTAGTCAGTACTATTAAGCCTCTACTTCTACTATAAAGCCTTCCCTATTACTACCAATTATTATTAAACCCATGCTACTACTGCTACATATTATTAAGCCTCTACTACTATTAAGGACTATTAAGCCGCTACTACTACTACTAAGTATTATTAAGCCACTATTATTACTACTAGTCAGTACCATTAAGCCCCTACTACTACTACTACTAGTCAGTACTATTAAGCCCCTACTGCTACTATAAAGCCTTCCCTAGTACTACCAATTATTATTAAACCCATGCTACCACTGCTACATATTATTAAGCCTCTACTACTACTAAGGACTATTAAGCCACTACTTTTAGTACTATTAAGCCGCAACTTCTACTATTAAGCCTTCTGCTAAGTATTATTAAACCCATGCTACTACTGCTAAGTATGATATAGCTAGTAGGAACTTAATAGTACTGAGTAGTAGTAGTACTCAGTATTATTAAGTTTCAACTAGTACTAAAGGTAATATATATCATAAATAATAAATACACACAATATATAGTTAGTGTTAATAGGACATAAATACTGATTCTAACAGATCAATTGCATGTAAACCATTACATAAAACACACACCTGTCTGGAGGTCTTTCATCGGGGAAGAGTGATTTAAACATCTGTATTAAACGTGGATTTGAACGTAGATGTGGTAAGATACGACTTTTCATACTCTCACTGGTACCACAGTTTACACCGTTTGTCATTTCACGTAATATTTTACGAAGCACGGTAGGTTTTCTAGCTAATGTTATCTGGAACAGAAAACTTCTGATGTTAAGAAATCAAGTTTTTTATGCGCCATGAAACTTTTGAACAGTAAGGTTTTAGTTATGAATATATACATACCCGTAATTCATTAATGAAATTAGTCATTTGTACGATCACAAAGTGATCCATAAACCTGCCAACTTCAGCTGCCTGTCCCGGCTTTAAAAATAATAAAAACTCTTCAACGATATCTTTATGTTCATCACCGAATAACTGTTCTACTTGTCTGTACAAATCGACCGGAGTTTCCTTCGTTGGGTCGAATTTTTTCAATAGTTCTTGGAATTGTGGAAACTTATTTGCAGGCGAGGAATTTGAGGTGAATCTTAACTGGACTTTTCTGTAATATGACCGTACTAGAGCTAAAAATACAAAAAAAAAAAAAGTAGGTCAAGGGAAGATTTGTTTATCTTATCATATACATCATTGATAAATATTATTGTTCAATATTCAATTAATTCAAGAGGGATGAAAATTTAAATGAATGTTTTTGTTAAAAACTGAAATGCACTGTTGTGCATATTCATAGTTAGGAATCAGGAAATGTTATTGTAGATAAAATAATATAGGTCATTTTAAATTATATGAAAAATGAACATATAAACAAATGGCTTATATACAGCAACACTGTCAGGAAGAATTTATTTTATCATAACTATTCAATATCAAATAGGTTAATAGGAGTACCTTTTTCCAATGCATTTTTATCTAATTTTGGTGGCTCATTCTTTTTGGTTGTGGTAGTTTCTTTTTGTTCTGAGTCCTTATTTGTTGCCTTTACTTCCTTTTGAATAATCTTCTGTACAGGTACCTAAAATATCAAGGAATAGTTAAATGTTAAAATGAATAGTTGACTCAAGTAGGATGATTTTAAATAAGTCTCAAATGCATTCAATATCACAGTTTATACCAAAAATATATGAAATTCAATACTTCTAGACACAAGATCTGGTAGTGTAAATATTATTAGTAAAATGTAGTACAATTATATAAAATAACAAAACACTCTGACTCACTTCTGGTACAATGGCGGTTTTCGAAACAGAACTTTGACCGAAAAAACAATTGCTCGGTTCGATTTTATTCCCAAATCCATCTCGACTTTCTCTCGTAAATAATATTGGCATAGACGGCAGCATCTAAACTCCTGGAGCTTTCTTTTAACTCTAATATACTCAACAAATACAACACTTAAAAACACTATCTTCCACCTTTTAACTTCACAATTTACTGCTATATATCTTTAAATAAAACATAGTCACATAATTTCTCAAAGTTAAAACACTAACAATTAAATTCTATAATAAATTTCTTAAAACGCATTATATAAAATATCTGTCTATAAAATATAAATACAAGCTAAAGTTATAGAAATAATGGAATATTTTTGTTTGACAGTGCTACGACGCGAAAGGAGCGAGAGCGCGGGCACGTTTCATTTTATGAACAAAATAAAAAATAAAGGCACAAAATTAACCCACTTTTACAATAATTGAAGTCGTAATTAAATACTTAAACATACTAGTAATTAAACCATAATAGATATAACTATTTAAATCTTTTAGTTATAAGAACAAAAATTATTTTAATGGAACGAAAGTTTTGAGTTTTGACTTTAAGAAATGGTTGGTTAGCGCGTAAGTTTAAAACTTTCTTGTGATATTTTAATCATGGATATTACAGATATATAGTAAGTAAATAATAGTACAAATCCGAATTCAATCCCTGAGTAGTTAATAGCTATAAAACTAGCCAGTAATTAAAGCTTAGTTCAAACATTTCGGAATATATGGAAATATTTCTTTCCAGACTGCTTCTAAGTATCGCAGTTATTAAAAAGTCTCGTGTTCTTCAAAAAGCCCACGCACTCGAATCAATAAAATTAAAAAGATGAAAAAATAGATCAATGACTGTATTTTTAATCATCGGACTCATTTTAACAATAACAGATATATATGTAGGATATGGGTCACTAAAGAGAAAAATAGATTTAAAAAGCATGGGAGTACCTATTCTTCAGAACATGTCATTAAATTCACCTATCTTTACCTAATTATTAATATTGTTGTGTCTAAACTCGTTGTCTGGAAACCATATCGATTTATTTATTAGTTGTTCGTGAAACTGAAGCTAATGCACATACGTTTATCCTGTCTGTGAATTTAAACCCGAACAGTAAAAGTATAAATGTAATTCGAAAATGTTTTACAGGCTAGTAGAAAAAATAAAGCAAACTGGTTGTAAGATTTTTTTTATGTGGTAAATACAACAGTTATATTTAAAAAACTTTGTTATTTAAAAATTAATATGGCTTCAATTTTACCTGCGGGAATTGCAAATGGGGTGAGTAGAAATTCACTATTGTTTTCCGACACAAAAGCAGTAAATAAGAAAATGGTTTTACTTGGATGTGTCAAATATAGAAAAACAAGCTTTTGCCCGCTAATTCATCAGTGCAGATTAAAAAAAATATAGTAACCATCCTATTCAGGTAATTTCGACCGTAGTCTATTTCTGTGCGTTTTATTTGGATCTGCTTAGACGTTTAGGAATTACCTGCTAACAAAAATACATCCATCCATCTATCTATGTAAATATTGGTATTTGTAATATTAGTAAGATAAAAGAAATAATTTTACACTATAGTTAGCCACAATTAATATTTTCGTAAACGTTTTAAATCTGAATTTTGTCAACTATTCTTAAATATTAGCTGGACTGACCTCTGTCGCCGTTAGAATGGTTTTCTATACTAGACCAACTAGGTTGATAAACATAGGTGATGTTTCAATAAACATGAAAACGTGCCGTTTAGTTAAATTCAATCAATGACTAAATATAGTGAAGATATCGTTTCAATTGTTCGAAATTTAACTGACCTTGTCGACCGGAAATGCAGGTTACAGCGTTTTATACACAGTTCAGTAAGAATCCGCCAACGATTTCGAAAGCACGAATATTTTCATCCGAGTGTTTGTTTTTAATTAAGTGATAATGTCCGATAATACAGGGTGTAAGGAAGATATTGATACAGTTAAATTAGACGAGATCAATACGAAACTACAGGATGCTCCCACGGAAGTGTTTGATGAAGTAAACAAGTGTATTTTTTTTTTAATATAAATTACCATATACTTTATATTTTAAAATATCGTCTTTCCTCGTTTTTAATGTGGAACACATGAACTATTAAAATACTGTTCTGTTTTTTTTTAAAGCGCTTTTTATTGTATTTAGAAGATGCACGGAAGATGTGATAGGATCGAGTTGAACAAAATTTCGAATCTCTGTTTACCCTTTTACGAGAGCCTAATAAGTATTTATATCAACTAAAATAAAATTTTCCCATTGCATCGTGAGTAAAATAAATTCAGTCGCGTTAGCAGAAACTTTACAATGGTAGAGTAGAGTACTTACTGTTGCATAAATTTTACAATTCCATGGCTAGAAAAAATATAAGGGAAATAATAAAGCCTCGTTACGTCTAATGAGTGTGTGCAATTCGAGTTAGCATTAGATAATTACTCTCATTTTTGCAGGTCAAAGGCCTCGACGCGAATCGCTATGCGACGAAGAAGACGGTCGCTCAGGGCATGCTGGACATCGCCCTGCTGACATCAAATGCGTCGCAACTCAAATACGTGCTGCAAGTCGGACAGAAGCACGAGTTTTATACGTTGCTAGTGATACTTATCAGCGTATCAATTGTCCTACAGGTGAGAAGATAAAAGAGTTTTTCTACAGTGATTCTTGTATTACATATTGCTGTCTCTGTTTTTCTTTAAGTAAGACAAAGATAGCAACATGTTTCTAAAAAATGCTTCGATAAATCTATAGATACTTCAAGTCGACTTGGCAATGATTACTAGCGTCCCCAAGCGATGACATAACCTAAGTTTGGTAGGCTAGGTGCCAGTGGGGCGTCGCGGTAGCAAGCGAAAGCGATCCCGTGGCGCCTCACACATTGGCCTGGAAGGAACGAAGGGGTTTAGTGAGGTATGTCCCCCACTATGGGGGGAGAGTCCCACATAACTCACGTGTCTGCCCCGAGGCATGGAGTATACGTAACGCATTCCCCTTCGAAAAAAAATTTGGCTAGGTGTAGATAAGCGGATTGCCATTGGTAGTTTATTTTTGGAGGCTCTAAAGGGGTGAAGCTTTTCCCCCTGCCCCCTGGTGACGCTTGACTGCCTATATTAATATTCTCTATGGGCTGAACTCAAGATTGTGTAATAGTAATGTTTTCTTTTATGTGAACGCTACGTTTTTAAATGAATCAGTAAGTTCAACGACTTAAGCCAGAATCGCGTGATTGTTAAGTATAATAATCAAATTGTACATCCTTTGTACTTAAGTTAATTATATTGATGTACATAGAGGTCAACGGTTTCTTATAATTTAAAACAGAAACGAGAAATTTTCCCTTTATAACGTAATAAATCTTTTTTTAAAATTAACATGCAATGGTGTAATTAAGTTGATTAGTTCTCACGTTTTTGCTGATTTTTGAGCTGAATGCAGTGGGTACAGTCGTTTGACCTCAGGGACATGTAATTAAATAAAGTGTGCATTGAATTATCAACCTTAGAAAAAATAAATGAATTAGTCGAGATAGATATTGAGGTTTTGAAAGATGGACGTGGTATTTTTGACCGACTTCCCAAAAGAAGGAGGTATTCAATTCGTCGGTATATTTTTTTTTTTTTTTTTTTTTTTTTTTTTTTT